TTTTCCAGGCAAATTTGCCTGGAATACAGTTTAAGGGATAATACTATAATTATATATTTTAGTCTTGAAAATAAATTTCTTATTATCTTTATTATTAAAATTATATTAAGAATAAGTTCTACTTTTGTATAATCTTTGTTAAAAATAAACTTTTTTGCAATATTTTTTTAAAATTATATTTTATTTTTTTTGAATTATGTTTTTGTTTTATCTGTATTATTTTTTAAGTATTATTTGAGTTAATAAATATATCTTTAGTTTATAAACTGTTGGTTGTATTAGAGTTGTAAATAAACCTAATCTTTAATAGTATCTTAATAGTATACTAGGTAAAACTAGTAAAACTGGTAAAACTAGTATACTGATAGTTATAGATAAAATTAATCTTCAATAGTGTACTATTAGTATATTGTTAATATTCTTTAAACTATAATTTTAGTATACAAATTTGGCTGCTAAAATTTAATATTATGAATTTTATTATTTAGCACACGTATATAGAGCTTCAGATTCATATTCATTATTTGAATAATATTCATATTCAGTGAGTATTCGAATAAAATTTTTTAAATAATTATTCATGAATAATATGAATATTCGAATAATTATCTTATTTGAATAATTCGAATAATTATGCTTATTTGAATAATCTATTCTTATTCAAATAATTTATTATATTCGAATAATAATTCCTAATTGAATAACTTATAATATTCAAATAACAGTATTGCATAGCTGAAAGTGTGAGATGTGTTAGAAATATTATTGGGTCAATATATAATAACTTACTATTCTAATATTAATTAAAATATTCTAATCAGAATACTAAAACTACTTTAATCTCTAATATTGGTAAGGCTATGATTATGACGTGGAAAAACTTGGTCTGAGTAACCAGAGTTAATTAGATAGGATAAAAATAGTGTTGGCTCAGATAAGTGCTCTCTTATTTTTTTAATAAGTATCTTACTTTTTTAACACCTTGACTAATACTAGTTTTTTTTTTTTCATAGTACTGTAGCAGGTCTTGTAATCAAAATTAGCCAATCAGAAGGTAGTATAAAGTCATGGTATTACAGAATCATGAATCAAGTATAATAATGTTGATCACAAACTTAATCAGGATTGATTTTTATATATAAGGTTGTATTACTAATACAATTTTTTAATTTCTTTCTTTTACTAAATACGATGATACTGTATTACACTTACCAAAATCAGAAATAATTAATCTCAAATTGTTATCTAATTGTTAAACTTGTATAGAAATTGCTGGCATTGTAAAAGTGCAGATTCTGGGTCACTAGTTCTTATCTAAAATCACAACAAAGATTAGGCTATTCAAAGGAAGGAGTAGAAGATTTGGACCAAGAACTAAGGATCCTACTGCCACTAGAATCCTTAGATTAAGTAGTCTTTATTATGATTTGCGTATTATCTATCTGCCCCCACTATTTACATAGAATTAATAAGCTTTTATACATTATAAATATGTAGAGACACTAGACAGATACAATCACATAATAGACACATTAATTTTTGCTAAATTTAGGTGTTTTATGTCACATTATGCAGTATATTTTAAGCAAATAATAGTTGCACTATACGTAATTATCATTATATCATGGCTGCTTTTTGTTGTAATTGTTATGATATTGATATTAAAGGCATAATACGTATATACCAATTAGCAATATGTATAGCTATTTTAGAATATCAAAGAGAGAATCTATTGCTAATAATAAGCAATTCATACTCATTTACATGACAATAACTTTAGTTCCCACCATGTGAATTGAATCTCATGAGAATACCAATAATGCCTTACTATTGTTCTCAATGGAGCATTGCCTTAAGCCAAATCTGAATTAGTATCATTAAATGTTTTCACTTTGTTGATTAATGTGGCTTGAATTACATTTTCATAATTGCGGCTAGATCATATTACCCCGCTATAGTGTACACAAAGTTCACAAGTAAAATCATATATATACGTACGTACATACATACGTATCAAGCATAATAGTATAGAAGATTTCTTTAGCAAATAGCAAAAGCCGAATTCAACTTTTGCTATAAGCAGTATTGCAAAAATTATTACGTACGTACTAAATTTATAATGCTAACATAAATGCTAACTTCTACAGTACAAGAATTGTATAACAGTTAAATGAGTTTATCAAATACAAAGCTTATGAATACTGCATATCATTAATGAGCTATAAAAAGAATAGCGTTGAGTCTCTTCTTAATAAAAATGAAATTTCTATCTCTCACAAAAAATAAAAAAAAAAGTGCACATAGAAACAATAAAGGTATTATTAATATTGGAATAAAAGAATATTATAAAAAAGTAAAAACTATCATATATTCATAGGATAAGATCCACAAGCACATGTTATCTACGTAATAAATTTAACAAAAAACAAGACATTTGACAATTAGAGGAAATACGACAGTAATCAATTTCTTATAGTAATCTGGGTTATTATATAACAATAATTCCTGAATAGGTTTAAATCTATTAGTAAATGATGATAACGATAATTTTATCAAGTTTTTAAGTCTTTCATCAAGCTTTAATCTTTGCATATGTAATTTAAAATGTTATATAAGACAGACATTTTAAAAAGCAAATCAAATATAACAATTTAAGATACTAAAATAATTCAAACAAAAAATCGTCCATTTAAATTTTTTTATAAAAGGTTTACTACAGGCCTTTTTTTTTCTACAAAAAAAAAATACAAATACTGTTTAAAAGATGTTATATATAAACAATAAAAATAAAGGCAAAGCTAATAATACTCAAAAATGTATACATACAGATGATGGTAATACTAGTGATCAGGAACAAGAAGCCCAAAATGGAAGTCATGTATGGAAGTACTTCGATGTTTTGCAAGATAAAATTTATGCTGAATACAAAATATGTAAAAGAAAGAGAAAATGTGTAAAATACAAGTTTCATGGCTCTACAAGCAATTTGATATATCATTTGGATAGTGAATATGGGATTACAAAAGATAATAATACGGGTTATGTAAGTTTTTTTTTTGTAGCTATTGTATTAATATTGTATTTAACAAAAAATCTAATAAAAATTTAGAGCAAAGATGGAAATATTAAAACTTTTATAGAAGTTGCTCGTGGAAAAATTGCTTATAAAAAACAATCAGACATTGAAATTGTCATGATAACTTGGATGATCGATAATTATCAACCATTCTACCTTTTGTGAACTAAATCTTTTAAAGAATTTATAAAAGTCATATCTTCCAGTTTTAATGTTCCAGGTAATGAAAAAGCAAGACGCATTATAAATAATGCATATATTCAATCGGTTAATCAACTTACCAAAATCTTACAAGATGTTAGTTCAGTCTGTATTACTACAGATTTATGGACATCACCTAATGATGAATTATATATTGGTATTACGGTTGGGTGGTTAGATTCTAAAAATTGGATATTAAAAGAAGGGCTATTGGCTTGTGAAAAAATTAGTGGAAAACATACTGGTGAAAATATTAAAACTACTATAGTTCAAATTGTAGAACAGTTTCAGCTTAAGAAAAAATTATTTGCTATTACTACAGATAATGGTGCTAATATTGTAAAAGCAATTTGATTAATGGATATTCTGTATGTACCATGTTTTGCATATATTTTGCATCTTAGTGTATCTAAAGGTCTTGATACAGCTAAGACATTTAAAAAATGTGTAACCAATCTTATTTTATTCTTTAATAATAGTCCTAAACAAACTAAAAATCTTAAAGATGCACAACGTAATTAAATTGCTTTAAAGTTTATGAGGTTCTTTTAGACGTAAAGACTAGATGGAATTCTACCTATATTGTATGGAAACATTTGCTTGAATTAAAGAATGCTATAGTTTATATTATTACAATTTTAAAAATTTCTTCTGAAAAATATGATAAAAATGATGCCGAATACTTGAAACAAATTAATTTAACAAATGCAGAGTGGAGGTAAATTTTAATTATCTAATTTATATTAAAGAGTTAATTATAATTGTAAATTAAAATTAATTATAAATATATTAATACTATATTATAGTTTACTTTTTGATATATTAGTTTTGCTAGCACCCTTTTACGAAGCAACCAAAATGCTTTCAGGTATAACATATGCAACATTTAATATAGTTTGCCACACAATGCACCATCTTAAAAAAACTGTAGCTCCACCTGAAGATGAAGATGATAAATACTATGTGAATTTATTAAATGAGAAAAAAACTCCAAGCCAAGATCAGTTAATAGAAATATATGAAGATAGTAATTACGAAGGCACTAGTAATCAACAAAATATACAATTCAAGAACTGCTGTACTATTAATTTGCCCAATACTACTGTAGGCATTTTAGAAAAAATTAAAGCAACTATTTACTTAAGTATATGTCAATATTAGGATTTTCCAAAAGAAATTACCTTACTTTTAGCATTATTAGATCCCTAATACAAAAAGCTTAAATTTGCTACTGAAGCTTAATGTAATATAGTTATTGACAAATTAAATGAATTATATCAAATTGAACAAGCTATTATAATAGAAGAATCAAATAATGATTTATTTGTTAATTTATTTGAATCATTAGCTACAAATAAGATTGTAAATACTGATCAAATTAATTATTCTTTGCTTAGAGTATTTGAAGATTCTGATGAAGATGAAAGTAATATATCTGATGAAGTTGCATGATATTTATCTTTACTAAAAGAAGCTCAAAAATGTAATATATTAAAATGGTGAAAAGAGCATATTAATGTTTTACCAGTTTTGTCTAAATTAGCAATGAAATATTTAGCAATTCCTGCTACTTCTGAACCTAGTAAAAGGTTATTTTCTAATGCTAGTCTTCATTTATCTGCTTGTCGTACTTGTTTGAAACCTGAATTATTAGCATCTATATTATTTTTAAAAAAAAATATAAAATTATTTAATGTTTTTAAATAGAGTAAAGTTATTTGTCACATAAGTGACAATAGCTTATACATCACTGAACCAATCAGATTTCAGGATCTCGTGTAATGTAACATGATCAGAAAATTCAAAACAAACGTTCGTTTTATCAAAAAACTAACAAAAATCACTTATTACTCAAAACCTGTATAGGAAACCACCTTCCGTGCTCTAACAAAAAGTTTTTCTTGGGCGATTTTACTATATACCCCAAACTCTAACTCTAATTTAGGTGCTCACCCTAATCCTAAACTAACAAAAACTAAACTTTATCGATACCGAGATGATATACCCATGATACTATCACGTGCGTGATCTTTAACTTTTTCCTTTAAATAAATAAATTAAGTAATTTTATTAGAGATTTTATTCTTTATAAATGGCTTTAACTTTTATCAAAATTTCGTCATCTATAAGAAATTTGTCTTTATAGAAGATTCGCAAGTTTTAGAGGTTTTGCAAGTTTTACAAGTTTTGCAAGTTTTGCAGATTTTGTTATTTGAGGAGATAGATTTCATCTTTTGTTATTTTGCAAAAAGGTTTTGTTTAACAACATTAGTTTGTATATCAATTATACTAATATATGTTTAATAAATAATTATTTAATAAAGTTTAACATCTAGTATGTTGGTCAGATGCTTCATTCTAATTAATAAATATTAATTGCAATTAAATTTATATAAACAAAGTATGCTATATATAGTAGCCAGTGTAGCTATAAAATTAGAAAAATGAATAATAAAATCATGATTTAGCTTCTATAAGCTATGAAATTGGTTAGCAGTTATGGCCTCAATAATTACAAAAACTCTTAAAGAGACTTTGTGACTAATTACTCAAAGTTAGGTTCTTTAGCCAATACTGTCTACTGTAATGATTTAAAATTTTAGTTTCTTTACCTTTATATTTTATTCATTGAAATAATAACTCTCTTGCGGGTTTATTTGATTTCTGACTAATTAAAATTTTATCTCCAATTTATTGATTTAAGTGCTTGAAAATGTGGTATATATATTTACTTGAATAAATTTTATTCGAATAATTATAATTATTCAAATAAATCTTATTTATTCGAATAATATTGTTTATTCAAATAAATATTGTTATTCGACATTTCATATAATCATGTGAATTTTTTTGCCATGATATTTTTTACATGAAATTACGTAATCAGTTTTGCAAAATATTACAGAAAAAACT